TATATATATGTGTGTGTGTGTGTGTGTGTGTGTGTGTGTGTGTGTGTGTGAATGCAGAGAATGATGCACTTCTCTTGCAAATAATTCATCATTACAGGTTGATCAAATTCTTGCCTGGGCACAATCATTTCTATAATTCAATTTGGAACTGTTTAACAACTTTAAGCACCTCGACACAAAATGGCATTCGATCTCCACGTTTGCCAGCATTTCCACCCTGTTTTCTGGCTAGGAAGACAAACTTTCGGACATACATAATTCAGCACCGTTGGAACTGACAGCTCCGGTAACGACGCACACATGCGTTATCTCCACCGTGAAATAACGTACGACGTAAACTAAGATTAATTTAAAAGCGTGATTTGCAACGTTATCAGAAAAACCAGACAAACACCAATCTCACAGATGACACCTACACAGATGCGGTTTAGAAAATAGACAATAGAGATCCAATTCTTATACGATTGCGCTACGAAAAAGAAAAAAAAACTACTAATGCAAAGATTGAAAAAAAGATACACAAAGTCTTTTGAACTTCTTAAATAGCACAAATCAAAAGACTTATTCCTAAAGTTAGGTGCTCAGTGCGTACATCACATCTTCATCGCCAGATTGGTGATATATTATGTGGCATCATGCTAGACTGTGCATAAGAAAACTGCAACAGAATTACCCTTATGAACAATTAATTGATGCCAAGACAAAGAGGGTAGCAAAGTCACTTACCATGCACGAAACACTGACAGAAGTAAGAAGTAGAGGAACAATTTGGTGGACATGTTTTAGGTGAGATTGTCTCCGTGTTGAATGTGGCACACTGCACGGAGACTATTCTAGGAAAAAAGTGACACAGCTGCAGCCTTTTCTTCCAGGCTCAATGAAAACAGTGGCGAGTGGTCGAGGTTATAGTCCAACGGGAACGGTAATACCACCTCGGCTAGTGTCCGGTGCTTAAAGTTCACTTACATTGGCAATTAGCGGAATCAAATAATAGAAGATCCCCTCCTGCTCATTGAAGTTGCGCTGCTTTCGATTGCACCACCAGATACACATACTGACGTTCACACAGAGGCAGAGCGCAAACTTCCAAAGTGGACACCTTCAAACCCCAAACGCATCCGCGAGTTTCTGCAAATTACGATACGTCATAAAAAACAGTCTGCCTGCCCAGACGCTTCGGCGGAACTTGAGGTCCTCTTCGGGTACAGCATCAGAATGCTTCGAAGAGGAGAGACATTAAAAAGCGGCTATTTACAGTATCGCTATCAGCTAGGTAAATGATTACCGTGTTCGAAATGCAAATTGGCGCGTAATTTCTGTAATTACTTTGCACGTGCATTGATCGCAGCGCGATTAACCCGATAATAGAGCAAGATTGAGGGTGAAGAAAATGTCATCAACCAATTTGGAGTCGAATAAATTACTACATGGTATTATTCAGTGCATCGCACTATGATGTTTCTGGCATAAGAATTATAGTGACAAATGCATTTTTCTGTAAGTTACTTTTACCATTTGCCGTATTATTGCCAGTGAAATGTCATTCGTCATTCTTTAGTTCTTTGTTTTACTATCTGAGACGGATATATATAACTACTGCTGCTAATTTAACATTTAAAGCTAGAGAAACGTCTATCCATACGTTGTCCTCGCATTGTTGTGTCTATATGTGAGCAGGTGCACATATGCAGTATAATATTTGAGAGACAGCGCCGACATTTATCACCACAGGCAGCTCCCAGTCGCCCACGCACTTTGGAAAAAACACAAGCCCCTTTCTCTCTTTGCTCTGCGTGTTGTGAGATTTTTTCCTCTGACTTCTCTCTAGAAGGTTCAGTATCTGTGGTACTCTAAACACGCCAAAGGCAAATCTACTTTTGAATATTTTAAAGTAGTCCTTTGTCATTTTGGCAAAATGTAAATAAATAAATAAATAAAATAAAATAAATAAATAAATAAATAACGAGTTCCAATGAGTTAAAGTGCGTATTTTCGAAACGCTAGCATCACCCAATGTAATTTATAAAATTGTCATTGTTTCGAACAGGTTTCCCCGTGCACTGCCCGGTCTGCCATTGGTCAGCTAAACAGATAGTCCCGCGCCAAACGCACGCTATTGGGTGAGTCTTCGACGTGCTTGTCGGGAGCGAAAGTTTGGTAATCCCACATTGCATCAGTGGTTACATTTTTTAGGAGAAATCCTTACTTCTTTATCTTTGAATATAGGATAAAGTATGTTAACATGTAAGAAATGACACACTTCAGTTTTAATAACATATAAAACTACAGATCGAACCAACTTTGTTTCCAAGTTATTATGACGGTATGGTGTCTCCCTTTTTTGGGTTAGTGAGAGCATGTACTCGGCCAGTTCAAATGCATGATAGACTATCCTCTTGTGGCTGATTACAGAAATGCAGATAGGAAGTGCAGCAGACATTAAACCACAGTACATACTGAACCACATACAAGGGAAGAATAAAAAAGGAGTGCAGCTAACCACAGGGTAAAGGATGTGACTGGAAGAAAACTGTCTGCACTGTCAAATATTTAAACTCACTAAAATTAAAAACAAAACGTTTGATGTACAAAGTGGTGCCAAACCCTCTAGTGAAAAAAAAAACACATGCTCTTTTAAGACCACTTTGAATTTAAGCAAATCAAGTTGAAGCACACACACACACAATCCTCAAAAGTAAAATGAATAAAATCAAGTAGAAGAAATTAATATGAGTGGATGAAAACAAAGACATTCTGAATAATAATGATACAATTATTACAGTGTACAAGTGTTTTGAATACTATGCTTTTAAAGCATGGTCAATTTCGACATCTCAGTGCTTAAATTGTGTATGATCAACACATTATGTCAACAAGCATGCCACTATCACTTTAAATGGTTAGCTGTCATCTTTGCACAATAGATTAAATCAAAATAGGGACATAACCAAAACCCCTTTTGATACCAAAATGCATTTTCAGCATTAGAAGATGCAATCTATGGGTTTTTCCTCAATAATACAATGAAAACAACTGGGTATCACTTCATGATACAAACATAAATCTGTAATGACATATCTGAGTGACAGCTTCTCAACTGTACACTAGTGGAATTCCGGTCCGGCACCAGGAATAGGATTCCAAGCTCTCACTCCACCACTCATAGGATTAAAGGTTTAAGGTCCATTGGCATGCTGTGTATTATTGTGAGAGTTGAGTTTAGTATATCGGAGTGGTTTACCATTGCCTTACATGTATTAAAATGAAGTAAAGGCTTTCTCTAAACCCACAACAAGAGTGCGACATGTCAAATAAATGTCAGTGTGACTCTAAAACAAAATAACGACATACTTTCATAAAGTATACTTAAGAACGGTGACATATATATGTAAATGCACAGAATACACAAATATCTCATTTGTATATTCTATGATGCAAACCGAACACAGCTGCCAGTTTCCAGCAATATGCTAGCATATAATATCACACATGTAATACAGAAATGCAAATACATGATCGCATTGGTACTAGTTTAATTCAATACCATGTATAGGAGCACTGGTTGGAAAAGCAACTTAAGTGAAGCTAAATCCTTCACAAACAGATGTGGGCCAGATGTTGCTGGCACACAGGACCAGAGGAAGGATTCCGTATCCTCCCTGCTCCAGGAACTCTGGTCTTGATGTGTGCATTCGTGTGTGTTTTGTATAATCCCAGGAGTAATCCCAGGAAGAATCCTTCTTCCACAGTAACAGTGGCTTCTGCAGCAACTGTTCCATTAGGACAATATCATACTAAGCTTCATAGGCATGTCTTATTGCCATGCATGAGCCTGTGAAGAGCAGCCATGAACCCAATAAACATAAAACCCCAGCATTAACCAAAGCAAAGAAATTACTATTTTTTGATGTAAATAAAGTCTTTGTTGATCATCGTTCCTGGCTGTTGATCAAATGCGACTGACTTTAACATTCTAGGTCAGGTTAGTTGTAAAGATTTGCAATTAAGAGACATATTTTGAGCAACTCAAACAGAAGTGATCACAGAAGTTGGTCAAGAAACATATCAGGCAGAATTTATTGCTTCAGACATGTATGCTTTGAGGAAAATCTGTACATTTCTGGAAACATCCATTGTTGTAAAAGGGCACATTACTGACTCACTGAACTCTTTTAATGATTCATTCTCCTATAGGCCTGAGTGGCGTACAGAGGAGCTTAATGGCTCTCATAGTTGACCTCTTAATGAGCTACACATTATCCGTGGGGTCACTTAGTTCTTTGTGCCGTCTCACTTTCATTTAACAAGTTCAGAATAGAATGATTACAGGATAAAACCTGAATCTTTCAGAGTCGCACTTTCGCACTAACAAGATCATTGTTCACTCCTCCATTTCATTCCCCAAATAAGCAGCCATGCGTTTTGGTTGAAGGCCAGAGATGGCAATATAGTGTGACATTTCGGTTTCAACAAGATCCATTTTAACATGCTTGACAACAGCAGGTTGCTCCTTTCTGGTTGACCTCTTAATGAGCTACACATTATCCGTGGGGTCACTTAGTTCTTTGTGCCGTCTCACTTTCATTTAACAAGTTCAGAATAGAATGATTACAGGATAAAACCTGAATCTTTCAGAGTCGCACTTTCGCACTAACAAGATCATTGTTCACTCCTCCATTTAATTCCCCAAATAAGCAGCCATGCGTTTTGGTTGAAGGCCAGAGATGGCAATATAGTGTGACATTTTGGTTTCAACAAAATCCATTTTAACATGCTTGACAACAGCAGGTTGCTCCTTTCTGCTCTATACCTGACCTTTCTCTCTTTTTTAGAATCTGAAAAATGTATGAATTATTCAATGTAAATGTTTCTTTCATTTTGTTTTCAGACCTTTTTACCTGATCATTTCACATTAGTCTACATGGTAGCGCAAAGAAAATATCACTAGGTGTCAACATTTAAGGCTTTTGCTAACTCGTTCCAACCTCAAAACCCAATGACCAATTTACAACACAGAGAAAAGTAAGAAAACGGCTGTCGCGTAAACAGCAAGAAAAGCCAAGTCAAAAACTACTGACTGTAAAGAAATGCCACATTCTGTCAAAGCCTACACTATTTCACAATACAATCTGCGTTTTCGCCATCATTCATGTCGCTTTGGCTGCACATTAGAGTAGCGTATCAGAACCATTTTCAGCTCTTCCTCACTAACGTTAAGCCGCATCTACGTTAAAAGCAAAGCATACACAAGCTATGTACAAATGATTCGAAAGTCTTAGCTGCAACCCGACCTTGTTCACCTTGCAGGATATCTTGGTCTAAAGTGTGAAAAGCTGCCTAAGGTGCGCAATTCTATTTAGCTACTTCAAAAAAGCTTAGAAAAAAAGACAAACGAAAGTGAAATCAGTAATTTCGGGACATTCCCGAGCACTCGTATGAAGTAATCCCTCTGAAGGCAACATTTTTAGCATAGCTAAAAACTTAGCATAGCATCTGTCTGCCTTATATCATTGATGCTAAAGCTATTAAACAAAGAAGAGAAGCCTCAAGTCCATTAATACAAAGCAAGGGTTTCATTATAAGCAATTACCCATTGCAACATAGTAGAAAATGGTTTTTGCATAGCATTTGGCCTTGCTGTACTTCTTTTCATAAATCTTTTTTTTTATACTATGATAAATGTTGATGCCAAATGCGTTCATTTTTGTTCAAGTCCCTTGGAAACTTCATGACTGAAATGGTAGCTTGTGTGGCGCTCAATTCATTGAAAGATGAATGCGATAACCAGTGGAAACCAGGGAAATATAAAGTAGGAAGTCAAGGCAGATATGGCAATTATATTCCCATAGAGCTTTGAATCGATCATGCAATTTATGATATCAGGAGGAAACTTCAACAGGAGCACTCCTCTTATAGATTAGCGAAGTGAGAGGTGCAGTAAATAAGTACTCGGCATCGTTTTTTGCAGGGTCAGCTTGTCGTTGAATACTGAAGTGGAGAAGAAAAAGAGGTTGTGCATGGAATGTCGCGGTGGTGTCGGGGATTTTGTGTGGGCTAAACGGCTCCTTTAATAACCGGTTCCCTGTTGAGATATGTGGCCCAGTAGACCAAGTTGAAAGTCCCAAAGAGGACCGGGAACACAATCCGGGACATCTTGTCAATTTTGCTGACGCTGTTGTAGGTCTTTTTGGGGTCCATTGCAGGCTTGGTCTCGGCGCTTTTCAACTGGACAGTGGTGCTGTTGGAGATGGTTGAGATAGCAGCATCCTTCGTGATGTTGGGGGTGAAGTTAACTCCAGACGAACAGGCATTGTTGGGCTTTTTGGAGAGTGCCAGTGGGTCTTTTTTCTGTGGTTGAGAAAGGTGAAGACATTGTTATAGTCAGGAGATTTTAAACAAGGTTGTCAATGTAAGAACAAAGCTGCCAACTATCTGCTCAGAGAAATACCAGATAATTAACCAGTTTGAAGGCCGTAACCTTCTAATTAAAGGTGAAATACAGTCATGGTTAACAGAGATCTGAGTCTGAACATTAAACAATGGCCTCTACAGGGCCAGCAGAAGAGATGAATTAATAAGGCTACGTCCACACGAAGCCAGAGCTTTCCCTATCCGATCTTTTTTTTTCCTCGTCTCAAGAAATATCTGCGTCCACACGAAACCACAAAACCGACACAAAACGATGTAGTATACATGCCAGACCAGTATGTGGCGCTGTAATTCTGCCACAGAGATACACAAAAAACGGAGAAGAAGACTTGGACTATGCGCATAAACCTTGCGCGCGGTATACAAACGAACATGGAACAATACATTTATTAATCTGTGTTAATGTTAGTTAATAAAAAGACAATCGTTCAGTGTTTGTTCATGTTTTTGTTGCTGTTACGTGACGTAGCGGTGACTGACTAGGGGCGAGGCGTGGGCTGATGACGTCATCGTTTCAGAAAATTTACGGATTCACTGTCCACACGAAAACGCAAGGGCGGCGTTTTCAGATTTATCCACTCTGGGACCCGGTTTAAAAAAATATCGGTTTCACTCTCCCAAAACGCCGGATCCGTCTGGACGAAACGCCTATACGATACAAAATTTATGCGTATACAGCTAAACGCGTCTCCGTGTGGACGGGGCCTTATTCTCTGCAAATTTCAGCAGTTAATTCACTTTGAGCAGCTTAGTGTACAGGCTTCATTCCAACTTTTTGTATAATTTTTTTTAAAGTTTATGTTTAGAATCTGCCAGACAACATTTGCATTTTATGTTACAATTGGTCACATTTCTTGCGTTAATTTGTGTTCTAAATTGTGATTGGTCTTCAATTTCTTGTATCTATTTAACCATCAAGTTAAAAGAGCTCTGATGTGGAACTTAATTTACACAGCACAGAAGCTGAAATTCCCATGCGAAAACTTTTCTTTTGCTGCCTTACAAGAACTTTTTTGCCTACTTGGCAAGTCTGGCCCTATCTTAGTACAGCTATTTTTGTACATTCTATAGATATAGTGGAAAAAAACAGCTAGTGGCTTTTTCACTTTTTTGCTGTCAAATGATTCATTTGAATGAGAGATTGTGTGT